TTAAACACGACGAAAAATTCTACGAATTGGGTTTTTTTAAAAATAAAAATTTTTTCGATTAATCGAATTGTTATCGAGACATCGTTCGAACATTCGAAAAAAAAAAAATTAATTTAAACGCCGCGTAAAAAAAAAGAAAGTATTTTATTAATTTTTTTTTCTTTTTTTTTTTCGTAATGGAGAATGATTTTAATTAAATCATCAAAGGACGTTATTTAATTTACGCACGACAAACGCAGCAACATTAAAAAAAAAAAAAAAAGGGGCGAATGCTAAATAAAAAACTTTAATTTACCTTTTTCCCCGCTCCCCTCCTTCCCCCTTTCTCTCTCTCTCTCTTTTACGCGATCGCATAATTAAATCGCGTTTTTTAATTAAATAACAAAAAAAAAAAAAAACGCTCGCGGGTAAAAATTTTTAAATTATTATTAAATCTTATATATATATATATATATATAAACGACAAAAAAAAATTTTTTTTACGCGCACATCAAAGTTTTTTTTTTCTCTTCTTCTCTTTTTTTGTGGCATTTCATGGGGTAAAAAAAACGAACAGTGGGGAAGAGGAAGGAGAGGTTGAAAAAAATGAAAAAAAAAAAACGCGACATGAAAAGAAAAAAAAAAAAGATTTTTTTATGTGACGTTTTTCAAAAAAAACCAAAAAAAAAAAGAGAAAATGAAAATTTTCTTTTTTTCATCATCATCATCATCATCATCATTACTATTATCATTATTATTATTTTTTAAAAAAACGTCACTTTTTTGAAATATAAAAAAATTGGAATTTAATTTCGAGTTGCTTTCGATTTGCGAAAATTACGCCCGCGATTTAATCAAAACGCGAAGTTTTAATTTTCCCGCCAATTGTTTTTTTTTCCCTGCTTTTGTAGAAAAAAATGAAAAAAAAAAATTCGAAAATGTTTTTTCTCTTTTTAAACGTCTATAAATTATTTTAAATTAACTATTATTATTATTGTTATTATTAATATTTACACGGGGGGAGGGGGGAATTTTTTTTTTGTTCTCTTATCATATCACAACAAACTGTGATAAGAATTAAATTTAATACATAATTTTTTTTTTTTTTTGTTTAGAAATTTATGTTCATCCCTTTTTTTTTTTTTCCTTTTTCTTTTTCCACGTAAAGGAAATAGAAGTGGTAGTAGAACAAGAAGGGAGGAGGGAGAGGAGGGAAGAAAACGGTCGTGATAATTTAAAAAAAAAATTTTTTAATTCGAATACGGAAATCATTCTGTAGTCATCTTATCATTTTTATCTCTTGTTTTCCTTTTTTTTTTTTGACAATCGAACGAAATCGATTTTCGATTTTTGATTTTCGATTTTCGACTTTTTTTACTTTTGAACGAAAAACTCACGTAAAAAAATTTTATTTTTTTTCTTCTGCTTTTGATGCTGCTGTCCCTCTCGCTTTTTAAATTTTTCTTTATATGAGGGGAAAAAAAATTGTTTGAATCGTTTAAAATGTAAAAAGTCAATTTCATAAATTTTTTTTTTTTTTTGTTCATAAAAATTTTTTTTTTTTTATATTTCGTACGAGTTTAACGAAAAAAAAAAAAAAAAATCGGGGAAGGGAGAAGGAAGGAGGGAGGAAGGAAAAAACAGAAAGAGAAAAAACCCCAAACCC